GATCCTAGGAAGAATGCTGGTCCGTGGTAACAAATATATTCTTGTGACGTTACTCCGCACCTTCAGCGTCGTCAAGCTGATCCTCCTCCTCTTGCCCTTCTCCTTGTGGCAATGGACCTCCAAGTGGTGGTGAGTATGACCTTTGAAAACAAAGACCTACTGTTGACTGATTGGCATGACCCTGAACATCTCCATATGAGTGGCTTCATGAATCAAAACCGGTCGACATCTGATTCGGTAATCAAAATCAGCTGGGGTCTTTCTTGGCTGAAACCACTCATATGGAGACGTTAGCTGTTAGCTGCTGAGGTCTTCTATGTGAACTCACTTCTTTGGCGCAAGCCGATCTTGGCTGATCGCGAGCCGAACGCCAGCCGACCGCGAGCCGACTTGGGCTCCGCTCCTTCCACCTCCATGGCGCAGATCATGTTGTCCAGCTCCATCTCGATCGAGTCTTCTTTCGCAGTCGAGGCCTCCTGGCAGATGGCCAGGATCACAGCTCGGTGTTTTGACCCATCATGCCTGGATGAGCTTGCGGAGGTTATGATTGGGAATCAACGTCTTGTTCGGCAAAACCAAGCCTGCAGGCATGCGACCAGTGCAAACTGCTTAACCAGAAGTATATACCCCTGCCGCGTGATCAGCCCTTCTATAAAGCTGTATTACACCTCCTGGAAGCACAGCCGGGGAAGAACACCACATCACTTCCACCAAAGTGCATCTTCTTCAGTTGCAAAGGGACACTGAGTCTTGCACATAGAAACTTCAGCTTGAAGCCAGCCTGCCCTCTTGGCCCCAACAAAATCTGACAAACCATCTTGCTAACTTATTCTATGTCGCAGCAAGAACACCTCCCCTGGCAGGTCAACGGCAGGGAGGTTTTTGCTGGAGATGTGCTGGAGCACAGGAGCCCAAGACCGTTCCTCCCAGCAGTTCGGCCTGTGTTCGGCGACGTGTCGTTGTTACGAAGCCATTCCTCGATCGGCTTCCGGTCATAGGTGTGCCCATCGCTGGTCGTCACGGGGTCAACCATGACCTGTGCGCGGCGGCCGTTTCTGCTCCTTGCACCGTTCGCGCTGCTTCTTGTGTCCGCCTTTTAGAAGAGAAGTATGCCAAGAAAACACGCAAAGAGCAGTTTTCAGAAAGAAAACACAGCCAACAAACCAATCCAACACTCAAAACGGAAAACAAATAGACTCTACGGCTTTCCTGACCTCTTGCGAGATCGGACAGAAGTACTCGCTGGGCATTGGTGCCTTTGAAGAGGTCTGATTTGCCTCGCTTTTTGGCCTTGGCGGAGAGAATCAATCAAACGTGTATGGAAATAGGGAGACCGCCCATCCAAAAAAAAGAATATATATATATGTATATACATATGCAAAAGTCAACGGAGATCCAATACATCTCCGCATTCAGCATGGCTAGGTCCAGCACATCGCCGCAAACGATTCCTTCTGAAACAAATGAAACCAGCTAAAGCCGTGTCCATGTGCTGCTAAAGCCGTTTCCATACTCTTGTCATTCACCACACACGTCCAGTAATTTGTATACTCCTCATCATTCAAGCAACCTTGGCTTGCTGGCCACTTCAACCTCAACTGCAGAGTATTCCAAAGCATGACGACGACGCTGACGTTCCTGACGCAAGGTGCAGTTTCTGCTATAATGGCTGCTTTGGCCCTGTTCATCGAATTGGATCTATGAATCTATTACTATAGCTCGTTTTGTCGTTGGAGATCTTCCTTCAACACCCCACACTGCCTTGCAACTGGCCTTGTGGCCATAAATCATCCTAAACTCATTCTGTCCCCACACCAAAAAGCTCCCGAATCATCCAAGAAAGTGGCAATTATATAGTGCCTCAATTGACATCTCAGGCGAATCACCTGTGCCCCCTTTTTCCAGCAACTCTGCTTTTTCCACGAAACCGACGACCGTTGGTGCCAGACTTCGCCAAACATCCAGGGATTCTCCAACACTCCACCCAACGGCCGTCGACTCCCTTCGTTCGGCCTGCCGAACCCCCCTGAGACCAAAAAACATCTCTCGTCTAGACGACTCTCTCGCTATGACTGCGATCTCTCGTATCGGAGCTTTCCATCCATCGGAGCTTTTTTTGCTCCAAAACTCTGTTCCATCCGATTTCGGAACACAAGTTCATCACAGCTCATCTTCGCCTGGCTCTTCTGCAAGGCTTGGCGCACCGCCGCGCCGCAGCCCTGCTGAAGTGCACGCAGCGCCTGGAACCCAACGGAGGGGGGGTCACCCAAGAGTCGCACTGGAACAGCTCCTCAAAGCCACAAATACTGCGGTATTGCTTGGTGCTGGTTTGCTATGGTAAAAACAAGTAAGCAATCAAATCGTCGTTCAGAGGCAGCGCACTCTCATGACAATCTGCTGGCAACATCTCACAACATCTCGGGCCCTTACAGCTCACCCGGCCCCTCAAGGTCCCTGCTGCCACCGTGCCACCCGCGCGCGGACGCCCTCGCGCGGACGCGAGCGCGCGCGCGCGCGCCTGGCGCTCGGTGCCAACGGCCGCCAGGCGCTGCATGGACGCTTTCAAGACAGATGTTAAGGCCTCAACCAAGTCCTGCTGACTGGGCGTGACTGGACCAGTCGACTAGCTCCGGTCCGATGGCCCCATCACCAAATTCCCTGGAGTCCCTTCAAAATCTGCTAGAAACTGGAGTGGGGGATTGACGCGAGGCATCGATGCGCCAAACTGGCTCTTAAGTTCTTTGGGCTTTCTCTTTCATTGAACACAGCGGACTCCAAGTTCGCATGGCAAACTGACCGGGTCATCAGGTGCATGGAACCTCACCCTACAAACATACTCCGGACACGTCAAAGGCATGGTTTCAGCGCCAAATACCCTGCAAACCATGCTTGACCCGGTTGACCCTTTTGACCCGGGGTCAACCAGGGATCCAGGGGCGCATGTTGATTCGCACGATCGTTGATCGTACATACCAAGCACCCCGCTACCCCTAACTATCTGCCACACACAACAGATGAAAGCCGTCCTCGAGGCCCTGCTCCAGACAACCTGGGCGCTTCACTGCTCCAAGTTCCACTTGTTTTGGCAGAATATCTTCCACTTTTCTTCAACCCTTTTGCCGAGTTGCGCTCTCTTTTGCCGAGTCCTGCCACCTGCTATTTCCATCGAATAAGAGTTTTAGTATACAGTAGATCTGCCTGGGCCTGCCGTCAAACGTCCGCATTCATCTCATGGCGGCTTGCAACTGCCGCGTGTGGCGCTGTGTTTCTTGAAAAAGAGAAGAAATTCTTTGATTGTTTCTGCCTAGTGTAAACCACTACATCACTGGAGGGTTGCGTCATCTACTAGGTGTGAAATCATTGTAGCCCTTTTCGTCGAACTCCGGACAGTTGAGAATGCGCGACGCCACAACGCTGAGACAGAACAGCTTGCCTTGCCCATTGGTTAGAGCCGTCTTACTGTGAAGCACCCGTGAAATGGATCGCTCTTCAAGAGACCGAACAGCTTAACTTGTCTGACTTGCGCGCCAAAAAGAGCAAAAACATCCCGCGCTAACCATATCTGAGGATGGGTCAACCTGGAGCCCCAACACCATATAAACATTGACCTTCCACGTATAACACAAGTACTAGTATCCTGTTCTTGACCCGCAGCCATATGTAGAGTTATCACTTATAGCCTAGCCTTCACCGACTATCTGGCCTTTGCCTGGAACCAGAAGAGACACCCTAGCCGACTCCTTCTAACCGCCAAGCTTCTGAGCAGCTTGTCCAGTTCACCGCCCAGGAAATCCGACGCCTTGCGGAACATGCTGACGCCCCGTTCCGTCACCTGAGTTTCGTGGACGAAGCCAGAGTTCTTGGAAGGACGTAGCAAGTTCGAATCACCTGCCGGGCGTAGCAGGAGCTCTTCATCCTCTCGATGTCTTAACAGCTTTGTCCATGCCGCCAGCTCCATTGAAGTGAGGATGCATTAGGAAAGTGGCGCGAAACCCTGAAACCAAGGGGTGTATCTTCTTGGCTTCAAACATTTATATCAATATCTGCAGTCTGAAGGGACCCTCGCCGAGGCAACTTCAAAAGCATCTGGTGCGACGAGCGACTTGATTCCGAATGATGGCTTTTTGGCGCACATCCGTTCCTGTGCCAGACACCGATGCGGCTTCACCATAGCTGGGGGTCATGAGCTGCTTGATGGTCTCTTTGATCCTTGCAAGCGTTTACACTTGTCAAAAGGACCGGCTCGCAAAAGGGCAATTTTCCATGCCTACGTTGACAACCATAGCACACTGAGCCCACATTCATTCAAATTCTCTGGAGGTCCAATGTCCAAGCAAATGCAACGACGTGTCCAGAATCAACCAAAATCTGCTGCACCGCAGAGTGTAAACCGAAAAACCAAGGGAAAACATACCAAGACGTTCAAGATTGAAAAGGACGTCTTTCAGTCTTTCATTTTTGGGAATCAACAAGAGTACTTAAACAGGTCAACGGTTCAGACCTCGCAACGCCAAAATCTTGCGTGGGATCGTTTTGGATTGCCAACTGCCTGAGATGATTCAGTGATGCTAAGTGCTGCCAAGCTTCTGTCTTGAGACCTCCATCTGCTGCCGTTGAAGATTTCCTTTCAACACTGGACCACGCCTGCATTTCGGAGCGAAAAAACACGCTTCACCATCAGGGAGGTGTAGTTCTTACATCTCTGCTCTTTGGACCTCTTTCGCTCGTGCATCTTGCTGCGTGAACACAGCTACGGCGAATCGGCCTGCCTCTTCACGAGCTCTTCTGCATCTTGGAAGGGCTCAAGTGGCAAATCCATACCACGCTGCAGTTTCCAAATTTCCTGACAAATCTGGTGCCAAAAGTCTGCGTGTCCAGGGCCCAGTGGGAACCAGAAAAAAGAACACGCGTACCGTTGTGTTGCTCTTGGTGACCAAGTTGCGTCCACGATGCGACGCAGCAAGTTGTCCACGTGATCTGGCAGTAGTTGATTCAGAACTCGGTCCCATTCAACGGCAATGCGTCGATTTAGGGGGTCCGCCAGAAGCTCATTGAAATCCTCCCGCCATTCACCTTGGCGACGGCAGGTAGCTTTGAAGGTGCCCCAGTGGAGGCCACCGGCACCTGGAGCAGAAGGTGAGGCAACAAAAAGGGTCAGGGTTTTGCCATGATGTTCTATCACGGGGTCAACCTTGGTGTGGGGGCTTAAAGCAATCATCCCATCATGGGGTCCAGGTTTAATGTCGGATTGCAAAGGTTCCATTGTTGGGATAGAGCTGCTTGTGGCAGTTCTTCGCCAAACATTTGGCCCTGGCTGCACTTGCGCATTCCCAAAGTCTTGCCAAAGCTGCAGAAACATGGCGTATGTTTACCCTTCTGGCTTCCCGCTCAGCGCCTTGTCCTTGACAGCGCACAGTCATGTTTCTTGCCCCTTCCTCGGCTGCTGTCCTTTGACCGATGCCCACGCTGCTCTTGAGCTTGTCACTTAGCAATGTCCGCATGATTGCGGCCTGGCAAACAGCTGCACGTGATTCTGATGGTTTGCTTGAACGAGACAAAACTCATACTGATCTAAACCATTCAGGGCTTTAGCAGGTTACAACGAAATCTTATCAAGGTACAAGTACAATCAGCTCACTCATCCCATTCAGCACGTGGACGCATGCCGCCCCACCTGACTTTCCTTGATTTTTCTCAAGGCCGTCGACATTGTTGAAGGATCCCATGTTGGTACTGTCTCAATCTGTCGCTCTGGCTCCTTGCTTTCACTTCTTGGGTCAGCAAAGGACATTGCGTGTTCGAACTAAACTTTCAGACATCCCTTCTTTTCAGAGCTTTAGATTTGGGGTGTTCACAATGCTTGCTTTTGGATGTTCGGCTGCTGATTGCTCGCGTGATTCTGACATGCCCACCACGCACCAGCTCAACACAAGTCCTGGAGCTTCCGGCAAGCCGATGAAAACTGATCTTCGGCCTTCTCCAGGGCATCTAATTGGGCTTTCTGCCCTTGAGCATGAATCCAGCGACGAAAGTCCGGAATCTCCGTGTCCTCAGACAAAGGGCCCTGCTTCCCGGACAGCGCTCAAACAAATAACGGGCTTGTCTGACCCAGACCAAGGCTGAACCACAAATCGAACCAGATTGAATTGCTTCTCAATCTCCGGGAAGGTTGAGACATCGTCTCATGCAGAATGATTAAACTAACCCCCGCCATCTGGATAACAATACCTCTTTAAACTTTAAACAACCTTCTACATTCCACATACACCCAAGCGCATGAACGAACTGCAGTCGAGAGTCCCTGAGGGTGGACCAAACTTGCGGCCCTCCATCCACAGTCATGTCCAAGAGCCCGCTCAGCCTCCACGCCACGTGGCCACAAACATAGATGATGTGTGCAATGTTTCTTCAACTACAACCCATGTGAAGTCCGAGCTGAGCAAAGGCACATGCGTTGCACGCCAAGCTGCTTCTGGTAATCCCTCGCCGAAGTGGTAAAGACCGCTGGAGCTATCCCGCGGCGCCGGAAATCTTCATCAGTGCTCCTCGGGGCGAGCACAGGAGTTCAAAGTAGAACGAAGTGAAATGCAAACTGCCATGGTGAAAGCCATCATGAGTAGAACAAACAGCTTCAAGGTGAACTTCCACCACCGGAGGCCAGAAAAAATACACCGTCACCCTGCGCGCCAATCCCAAAAGTGCTGATTACTAAGCTCGATAAACCCTTTAGCGACGATCTATTTGCAAGACACCAAGCAAAAAGCAAAAAGTCAAAAAGTGAGAAAAGTCAAAAAAAAATCAAAAAGTGAGAAAAGTCAAAAAGTGAGAAAAGGTAAAGGAAACGAAAGCACGCAGCGAGACTTTTCGACTTATCGAATTTTTGGACACCAGTCACACGCCGTGCCCTTCAACAAAAGTCTAGCAGAATTGATCCAAACGGTTGCTGTTTTCCAGACATCTCCAGCCGTGTCAAAGTGAGTCAGCCTTGAGCCTTCAAAAAAGACACACCCGCCAAAAGGACCTGGCAAGCCCCGGGACCTTTTGGCGGGTGACTCTTTTTATCATCGTTGCCTTTTCGTGCACTTTTCGACTTTTCGCGACTTTTCGACTTTTCGACTTTTCGCAAAAAGTTCGGAGAGCAAGTAGATCCGGCTCACACATTTAGCAAGCACGGCGCTTTTGGGCAGGGGTCACTTGTCCAAGAATGGGCATCACGCTCCGTCCCTTGGGCCAAGGCACTGCGAGCGTTGCTCGCTTTGGATTTCGATGCGACGGAGCCCTGCAAAGCAATCGGCCGTGATCTTCTCCTTGGCGCTGGCCTGGGCGGTACCCACCAGTGAGGTGAACAGAAAAATCAGCGGAGGAACGAACCATCGCGGCAGGGATAACAAACAAAACATGTTCTGTGTTCTTTTAGTGGTACGCCAAAGAAAGTATCATCAATCAGTGGACGCAGCAACTATTGTTGGCAAATGGCCAACAAGAAACCCCCCAACCACCTTTGATTGCACATTGTCAACCCTTTCTTCAGTTGGTAAAGGGCTTGGAAACATCCCAAGCAACAGCATACAAACTTGAGGCAGGAGCCTTCAGTGGAGATGATGAGCAAAGATTTTTGTGAAATAGTTTCGATCAAACGCTCAAGCCCTGCAAGGACAGCTTCTGCCAGGCCACATTTCGCAGAGCTGCCGCTTTTTCTTTTGGTACGTCGCCCTTGAGCTTCAAATTTCTTTTCAGCTCAGACCTTGAGAAGATGAAACCAACCTGAAGTAAAGCCTCCGCTATGAAACGACATAGGGTTGCACTTGCACAGAATTGAAGACAGTTTCTAATTCCTCTTTGCCTCCAAGCAGCAGTGTCAACTCGTCTGTGCATGAGGCCACAAATGCTAAGCGCCCATAGTGGCCTAAGCTTGTTTTGCAAGACGAGAAAAAATTATCGAACACAGAACACGGCTCATGGCAGGTGATGCGCAGGAGGACTGTTACGCAGTTACACGGGCTGGAACTTGAAATTGGAGAGAAGACGACGATTTTGCGGCGAAGCTACCGTCCATGAGCAATTGCCGCCGGAATCTTTCGCTGAGCATTTCCTATGCAAGCATCACTAAATGGTTGGCTCACTTCTACAGTGAGTAAGTCAACTTGCCTGCGCCACCCGCTCAGTGGCAGCACGCTTGATGTTGGAAACAATCACCACGCTGTTGGCATCCTGACGCAGCGATTGTTGGCAGACGCATCGCGTCGAGCGCCGGCGGAGCGGTCAGCCAGCACCAAACAGCTTTGAACCTTTGTCTTGGGCCTTGGGGTGAACTTGATTGAAAAACAAACCCGAGCTCACACATCCATTGCTTGCGCATCACTCGCCACACGATCGAACCACATCAAAGTTCCGTCGCATTTTCTTGCACTTCTGACGGACCGGTGGCATCCTCCAGCAACTTCTTGACCACGTTCCCCCGTGCTGCGTTGGCGTCTTGCACACCAGGCGCATCAACGAGGATCACATGGGGATGCATGGCTCCAGCAGGGCATACAATGCGCACCTCAGGTAAATGTAGCAAATGGAAGGGGCCTTCAAACAAGGGGGCCATGCTAGGCAACAATGCGCACATGACTGCGAAACCAGTTGCCTTCTTCACCAGCGGGAAGAAGGCTGGCTCCCAGTCCCGCTCAGGACTGTCAATGTAGTCAACCACCTCCTGCGCCAATGTCTCTCCATCAGCATTTTGGAACGTCAACACCTCCAGGCAGTCAAGCAGGAACTCAGGAGTTCCGCCTTTTCCAAGGCAGAATTCCCAAGACGGTGCTTTGTTTTGTTCCAGAGAAGTGGCCTCGAACATAGACCAAGAAAAACCACGCCTTGTCTGCTGCGTGCTTGATGGTCACGGCGTTCCTGGGCGCGAGGTGAATCGACGGCGTCAGGGAATGCACGCAAACAGCCAACCAAAAGTCCGGAATGTCAAAACTCGTGAGTCGAAGCGCGGGGACGCCACACACTCCACTAAAGCTGCACACTCCAACCATGCGGGAGCGCCTGATGTGGAACAGCTCGTTCATGGCAGCAGTCACAGATGGCCAGGGGTCTCTAGCGTACAGGAAGGCCTGGTTTTCGTTGGCAGAATCTTTAGCCACGGCGTATGAAAAAACAATGCAGCGAACATGTTGGCGTTTCGGGCGCCACCCTGCGCAAAGGTGCGTCTCTGCTCAATGTCTGGTATTAGAGTGATGGTAGTTACAACTCCACTGAAAAGAGCATCTCATCTGCTGACGAATTCATCGATGCAACATGGATCAACACTCTTGAACCAGATTTCTCTTTCGTTCTCTCCCGCCGGCCTGCGGATAAACAGCTACCAATGTGGCAAAGGCAACGTCTGCTGGCGTCTCCTCCTTGCCCCTGACCGGCTCTCTCCGTGAGACGCGCTGTCGATCACTCATCAAGAGGTCCTGGGCAACAAGAAGACACAATTCTAATACGTCGACCCTGCACCTATCGAAAATCCGCCGGCATCTCATCAAAAAGGATGCCCTGGGGCCCTTGGGATAAGTCTGGTGAGGTTGGGTTGTTTTTTGTCTCTTCAAACATGTGTGTGTGTGGCTAGCAAAGGGCACACTAGAGTCGAGAGTTGTTGGGAGGTGGTCTTCTGAGCTAGCTGCGATTGGCTGCGTTTCTTATGAAAATAGTCTATAAGTCTATAAGCTTCTATCTAAAAAAGATAGGCAACAATTTGGGGCTCATCTTTCAAGTGTCTTACTATAAGAAGCGTTCGAAATCTCTCCATCCTTTGGCCACCAGCCACCCAAAAACCCAGCTTCCGGGGTCCTGCAAGGCAGCTTGCACCTCGCCTTTCCACTCGTCCATGCTCTTCAAATGAACCTGGCAGCTCAGAGAGTTGATCAGTTGATCAACAAAGCGTTCTTCTTCCACCAATTATATAAGTGGTAACAATGTCCCTTTAAAGGGACTAAGCCTGGTGAAGGCATGGGAAATCGGCAGGCCTCACAACATCTTCAGAACAGATTCGAAGGCGCGAAAAGCCGCGGCCTCACCCTTGAACACTGGAACGTCGGCAGCTGTCAGCTCCACAGGCACAGCGGTGCAGGAACGCCATCCAGAGGTGGGCACCACATTCTGTCGCAGGACAGCATTCCCCAAAAAACCGCTTTGCTTTGCACCAAAGTTGTTCTTGGCCCTTCCTGAATGGAAATATCAGAATATCTTCTAGACTCTAGACTCACATCAACATGCCATTTGGCTCGTTCCTTGGACGCAAGAGGCCAAGCTGCAGTAAGGTGGATTTCCCGGCACCAGTGTTCCCAAAGACCGGAATACCTGGGCATAAATCCCAGCAAGAAGTCCGTGATCATCTGGGCGTGTTGTGAATTCCAATGCATTAATGACAGTCAGTTCTTGATCGAACAACTATCGCATGCACTCTTGGGCTTGCCAAAGCTAGGCAAAGGGACGCGCAGGGCTGGGCAAAGCGACTTCCTGGGCCTCTTGGATTTGTCTCAGCACCTCCTGAGCAAAGTTCCTCGCCAGGTTTTGCTCACCAAAACCCTGCTGAACATGTTGGTCCTCCAGGGGGGCCGAGCGGTCTTTGGATCGCAGGGAAGAAATGAGAAGAGGGATCAGTTATGTCAGTTAAGTCAGATATGGCTCAATTTTAAGTTTGCCTTGGTTGGATACATATATCATTGCCCCTGAAGCAAGTTCGTTCCAGCACTCTACCCAAGTCTATGAACACCTCATCCGCCGAATGTGTGAATCCGCTCCAGTAGCTTTTCGAAAATGCTCGCTGCTTGTTGAAATTCTTCTCGTAATTGTTTCAACTGCTCCCATTCAGTATGCAGTTCTGCCAGGGTCATATCCTCAGGGATGAAAGGGTGAATGTAATGAGTTCATGTCCAATTCATGGTTCTTGATACTGAAATACTACAAATCCTGCATGCTGTACTGAATTCTGATCCCCTCCATATTCTTCCACAAAAAGTGCCTGGTACGCTCAGCATCGTTTACAGCATATCCCTTCACATGCCTGGTGTGTTTGCTGGCTTTCCATTGGCACATCGCTCGCACTCTCTGGCACGCTTGCACTCGCCGCTGGCACATCACAGAGTGCCAGAAACTCAACTGTCTCTGGAGCCTGTGAGTTTCCCGATGCCGGCAGTGCCACATCCTTACCAAAAGTACCGATCATTGCGCCGAATGCAACGGATTCACGGATTGATTCCCGCCGCCGCCTATGAACCACTGGTTTGTGGAGTTACGACCGTGCAAACAATCTGTACTTAGCATGCGGTCGATCTGCTTGCAAACGTTGCGTGGTGTCCCCATGCCGTTTCAAAATGCATCATCCAAAGACTCTCCCAAGCAAACAAGAAATGTTGTCCACTCATCGATTTGAGATTGTCATTCCAAAAAAGAACCTTATAGGATTCCCGTCAGTATGGGAAGCTATAAAGTGCTGCTGACAGCCAATTGCCCATATTGCCAGGAATCGTTGGCTGACTTTGCCTCCAACTTCAACTTCATGACATGGCCTAAAAGCTTCTTTCTCATCACCAGATTCTCGCAGCCCAGCTCCTCAATGTTGGAGCAGTCTCTTCGCAGAGATCGAATGCAAAATTCCATGCAGCGGCATACATGCGAACAAAAGCAAGCCATCAAACAATGTACGCATAGTGCGCTCAAGCCGGACAGAATCTGCGTGCTATTACGTCCTCCCGCAACTTCCAACTGATCAAGCTGCCTATCCCGTGGAATTACTGTCAGCAACAGGTCTCTTGATCACTCAAACCCCTGCCAATTCAACGCTGTACACAACGGTCAAGCGCACAACTGGTGTGGGAGCCACCACATATTACACGCAGGCATTGAGTTGTACCTAGATTATATACTTGATGCCTTCATGCTTAAAAAAAAGAAAAGTCTGCCAACAGCTCTATACAACACATGGCGCTCAACTCTACAACTTGAAATTGCATGCAGCTGCACGGCTGTCGGGCCATGTCGTTTTGTTAGACCGAGATTTCATTAAAGCAATCCTTGTCGCCGAGATGTTTTAGATTGATGGCACGCCGTGGGTGTGGCCTGCAAGAGCTGGATGAGGGACATGATCCGTTTCATCGTTGGAATCTGCGGCACCCTCCGGGGTCGTCATGAGGAATTTGCTACACGAATTTCACCTCACATCGCATTCAAGCTTGTAGAATCTGTCTGCCATCAGCAAATGGAACACAGTCTCGGTCAACCTGACACTGAATATGTACTTGTCACTTGTCATACAAGAAAGGATATCCTGTGGGGCACTACCTGAACAATCACAAGTGGGGTTGGTTTTGCTTTCGAGACAGATCTCCTTCAAATCTGCATCATCAAGCTCCGTGAGTGTAGGACCATCGATGTCTTCGAAAATGGGCTCCCACCGCTCAAGTTGCAGTTTTCGGAGGAAGGACTGCACTTGAGAAGTGGTCCTTAGATCCGGGATTCGCATCAAATGCTTCCATCCCACCAGACAATGTTGGTTTCGAGAATCATTGGTATGAGCCTACTCTGAACATGGCATTCTGCGTCCGGGTCTGCCGAGTAGATGGCCAAGTCTCCAATTGTAGATCACCAGGTCGACACACCCTCCAGTCTCCTCTGCCCTTCTCTTCTGTGCCATGAAGCCGGCTGAAGGCGGTGCAGTGTCGCACCAGGCTACACAGCTACCAGCTTCAAGAAAGCAAGCATCCGGAACGCATGGTGACGGTGACTGCTGATGACGGCTGACTCATGTGAAGGCAACACATCTGTTGACAGGAAATCATACTAAAAGAACAAGACAAGCTCTTGGGAGTTTTCTGTGACCACGAAACAGCTCACATGGCCCTCTGTGACCGTTTTTTGAATTCTTGGTGCCCCGAGCCACAGTCCACCAGCCCAAACGGCCTCCATGGTTCGTCGGAGTATTTTGTCGTGAGTTCCCATGAGACCATGGTTGCAAGGTGATCGCAATGGACGTACATTACTGGTCATTCGGCCCCAAGGTCCACAGCGAGAACCCATCGCACTGTGAACACCAGGGTCTCCCTTGCAGGTCTCTTTTTGCGATCTACTTCTCTAAGAGGAACATCTCCTCAAAGAAGCCATGGAAACATCGAAACGTTTGAAGCTTCCTTGAAGGACCTCGAAGGCCTTTGCACTTTGTCAACAAACACAACAAAGTTTCTTGCCCCATCAAACCACTTGTTCAGCCTTCAATAAACTCCACCCAAGATGTAACGTAGCTGCACAGCACACTCTCATATGGCCCTCTTTCTAGAATTTCAGAAAGAACTAGACTACAAGTGGTTGGACAGGCCTTGCAGTGGCTTCGAGGGTCTACAATCAAAAAAATGTAACTAGCAAATATTTCAAAAAGAACGTGCAAAGCTACGGGCTTTAGACCAACTAAAATGACTCAAATTCATTGTTCACCTAGTCTGAGCTTCTGGGCCGACGCACATTGATAACTTTTTGAGTCGCCTCAACGGATGATCCAACTCTTCTTTGGCTAAGTGGTCTCGCCTGATCTCCAAAGAGGAAGGCGAAGTGGTCGCACCGGCGAAGAAGTGGTCGCCGCGGCATCCGCCTTGAAAGGAGGGAGAGAACCGACCCCTGTTCGTCAAATCGAAAAGAGACTTTGTGGGAAGACAAGCATCATCTTTCAAACCAGGCTTCTCCGCTTTGGTTGACGTCTGTGACATCTTAGGGCACCCCACCAAGAACAAAACTAGAGGATGATCATTTGGGGAAACCTGTCTATACGCTTAAGACTCTTGAATTCTGGCATCGGCCATCATTTCGTTCCCCTGACCCCTGCTGTCACCAGAGACAACTTCCCTGCACCTCGTTCTCTGCAGGTAGCGCCAGCTGATGATCTTATCGGTGGCATCAAAAACAGAGAATGCCTTGGCATAGGGAAGCAGGATAAGCCTTGGCATAGGGAAGCAGGATAAGAAAACATGTGCAGTATACACATATGTAAAAATATATATATATATTTACATACACTGTATTTTGCATGTCTTTCGCAAACCTCAGTCTACAGTACACCATAGACCAAGGCACACTGAACTCTTCGTGTTCAAACTCTGGTTGTCGAATGCAACGAGACTCCGACTGTTGTGATATAAGTCATGTCCAAGACAAGTCTACACCATGGTGATTTTGCTGGAAGGGTTCTCGACATGTTCCGCTGTGGTCATGGATCTTCCTCAGGTCATGATCCAGCTGGATCATAAGTAAAAGTCCACTGGTCTTAAAAAGAAAGCAAAAACTTGAAACGTTTCAGCCAAACATCTTTGGGCATGGTATGGCTATCAATCCTGCCGATCCTACCAGTTGCGACCTGTAGACACAGAAGGGCGACCCCTGTTATGCTGCATTTGTCAAAAATGGAACGCTACACTTTTGATTCGCTCGTTCCTGGCAAAAATTTGTGAAACGGAACTGTATGTATGAAGAGCTGACAGAGCCAAGGCGAAGGCAAAGAAATAGAAGATTGTGTTCCAACTGTATATAAAGCCCCACACAAAAACTTTCAACATCAAATTCTTCTTCCAAAATCCGAAACCCTTTACTTAGAACATTGCGGTTAGAACACCCCATCATGCACCTTTGGAACACTGACGACATGCACTCTTGGACCATGAAGCACTTTGAACATTATACATGGAGTGGTTTGTACTGAAAATGTAGACTGCCAACTAGACCCATCCACCTTAAGGAGATCTTCTTTTTTAAACTGTAGTGGGCCAAGGAGACAGGTGTTTGGCTAACGAACATCCATTGACAACAAACGCTGAGAACCGTTATTTCACACGCAAGGAACATCTAATATCATTTAAGACCTCTAGAACACGATCAACCTGGCAAGCCCAAAGTACTTGCTTGTTGGTTTCGAACTCCGTTCTTGCAAGGAATGTCCAGGCTTCACTGTGTATAAAGAGATTAAACGGTCCCCTTGTGAACATGGACACTTGTACACATTTGCAAAACCATCACGCACAGTCCAGCGCTTATTCAACCCTGACCGTCAAGATTTTCAATCCTTAAAAACCTACGACTTCAACAATGTACTTCGTCTGTTTCGGAATCGTACGGTTACCGCTGCGCGGGGGCTCGAGGAGTTTCAGTCATAACAAGGGGGAGAAAGGCCAAGATCACGGAAACATGTTTGTTGCTCACAACGGGCAATTGGTGGTGGGCCAGCATCAAATTTTCGGTTGCGGAGATGAGGAACAAACTAGACGACGAATGGCCCGGGAAAGTTGAGCCCCACGCATACAAGTTTTGTTGTTGTGACACATGTCACGTTTCTGTTTTGTATCACACCGCCTGTGGACCGTGCATCTTTCTACTTGTCGCATCCTCCGCGCGCGTTTACACCAACCCTTGACACCGCCAACCATCCCCCTCCCCAGCGACACGCCGCGTTTACACCATCGTGTTTCCCTTCCCCCAATGGCACCGACTCACGCACAAGCGCTTTCCACCGAGGCCCGCAAACCCGCATGGCACAGCCAAATCACTGACGTATTTCGCCACAAGGTGTGCCACAGCCTAGATGCTAACACCAAGCCTTGTGGACACCGTCACTCATTCCACTCCCAGCAACACGCCCCATAGTTTACACCATCGTGCTCCTCTTCCCCCAATTCCACGGACGCACGCAAACGCATTTTCCACTATATAGTCACTAGCCGGATGCCGCCAACCTCCAAAAAAAAAATAGACAACTTAGTGCACCACGCGGCCGATACAGGCTCACTGATCTCAAACTCAGAAGTGTCCCGACTCGAGACAGAATGGCAGGGCCGCTACTGCTTGCGTTGTGGATCCGTTTCGAAACGGTAATGGATCGAAGAAACTGGAGCACAGCAATTGAAATGCTCGTACCGGAGATACACCTCCCAGACGAAGCCCTGTTGCAACTGCTGGGTAGGTGTGTGCCTGAGCAAAGAATAACGTCCATGGCGGAGGCGCAGGCTCTCTTGCCACGCAACTTTCGAGCAGGAGGCGCTCAGCAGAGCGACTGCGCTGATTGGCTTACTGGCATACCAATTGGGTGCTTCCATTCGTCGGGAGTCCAACTTGTCAGCCTGCCCTAAGGGACGACCTTCATCGGGCATAAAGCTTTTGCACACTGTAAACAACTAGTCCGAGTTGACCTCACGCGGACCAAAGTCTACAAGCTGCACGTGCACACTTTTGCGCACTGCCAGCATTTGGAACAAGTCTTCCTGCCGTCCCGTCTGATGCAGCTCGTTGGGCACATTAGCCCCCCCATCAACTCTGTTACATTGGGCATGGGGCCTTTGCAGGGTGCAGCAAGTTAGAATGCCTTACCTATAGAATGAATAAGACAACCCTGGGGCGACGCCTGCGAGTGGCTGACAATGCCTTCGAGGCATGTCATGCTGTTAGGCAGCTCGCATCTTTGCGCCGAAAGCGCTCACGAGTATGTATGTGTATCTGTACATGAGCAAACCTCACATCTAACAAGACTACATGTAAAAGTGAAATCCCTAACACGCCGCCTCAAAATGAGACGCCCAAGTCCTCGTTTTGCGACTTGGTTTGCTCTTTCTTAGACCGTTGAGTATCGCTTCATCTAAGCGACCACAGGTAAGTCCTCTCAACAGTCTGCTTTGTACATAGCCCATATGTACTGTTCCGGCAAGAATTTCATGCCATTTCCACAAAACTTGTTTGTAAATTCACCTTAGTATCAGGTGGTTCAGCTGTTACACCTGTACTTTTCGTTGTGCACAATACGTGGTTCAGATGTTGCACGTATTGCTTCGTGGGTTTCATACCAACCATGCAAATCGTATTGAACTGTAAACTCAATGCTGAAACTTTGAATTGCTTTGTCCACTGCAATCAACTATCCGTGGATCCTCGTGGTCTCTGCTCTTCATCACTTTCAGTTCCTGACGGTAGATAGTGAAGACCTACCCACATGTCCGGGTCAGAAACTTCGCTCATCGTAGACCTCAAGAACCTTGCTATTCTTGTATCTTCACTTTCGCCACTCGGCTCTTCACAATTTTCTTCTTCTCCTTCTTCATGGTTTGAGCTGTCTCTGTCTGGTCTTGCTATTGCTTGCGCCGCCTCACTTGCACTCCCAGTACTGCGTCCAGGAACTCGATCTGGTCGGAAATAGCCATCACTTTCCTCCATTCTTTCAAACAATTCTGCAACTCTCTCACTTGGTTCAGCTCCTGGTTCTGGAAGTTCAGGAATGTCTGGACCTCTAGGGCTCTCTTCATCGACCGACAAGTCTGTCATCGATCGACAGAAATGGTGTGCTCTCAATCTTGCAATCTCTCCAGGGTTCGCCTCAAGGATCAACAATGTCGACCTCAAAATTTCTCTTCTCTTCCAATATTTCTTCTTTTCCTCCTCCGACATTCTTCCAGCTCTCCTCTCTATTCGCCTCTCCACTCGCCCCAGCATCCAGTAAGTGAACCACTCTGGCGACCATGGTTCCCATTTCCCAGGTGGCTCGAGGGGCATTGGCGGAAACAAAGGAGGTTGAGGCTCAATCTCTCCTGCTGGTCGTCCAGGTCCATCTGAACTGCTAGCACCTGGTTCGATATTGTCGTTGCCAACCACCATTCTTCTTGTTGCTTCTGG